ATTCGAATTTACTAAGGACAATATATTAATTTTGTTCTACTTTTAAACAAAAAATATATCGCACGCTGAGTTGTATTTTTTACTGAAGAAATTTAACGTGGAATATGCAAGTGTTATTTAGATGAAATAATTTATGATAATTGTTGGAGGTACGTGTTACTTAAAATTCAATGAGCGTAAAGAATTTTGTTTTAAACAGTACGGTGGTATGGTCATTTTGATCGTTACTCGAATAACTAGCCAGGAGCGTGGGTGAAAGTATGACTCTGTAAATTGACATATCTAAAATTCGCATTGAGATTTTAACCTTTTTGCGACCTGTTTAACCTGTTTAGGTCTTTAAGAATGTTAATGTTTTATCCATATAACGGATATGTAAAAATAAATGTCTAGTATTTTTTTTTATACTTTAGTAAATTCATTTCATGGTTGTGTTTGTAGATTTTTAAGTCTGTAAAATAGAGATACATTTTAAGAAGCATACTTTTCTCATTGATCATTTAATTATCTTCTTTAACGAGTATATATACAGATACCATCAAACATATATTTTTCAATTTATTCGGTAATATAGATAAAAAAACGTTCATAAATGTTATTGTTTTTAGATTGTCATGTACGTTTTTAATAAATATTAATTATCATCAAATTACGCACAGATTTTTAGATTGTGCCCATGAGAAATTCATTATGAATTAAAACTGGTATCGAACATCGAACATTTCTTTCCTGCAGTAATAAAAATTGTTTTAACATTAGGATTTTAATAAGATGCGATTTACACAAAATTAAGTATAGTACAGGATATATAACATCCACTGTTAACCGCTCGTTTGCAATAATTTGAGAAATTAATCGTTTTACGGATTATTGAACATACGAGTATTATTCGATTACTTCATAGGTTTTACAAGTAATAGACACCAAAAAAAGGAACAACCGATGAGCTGTTACATGTTCAACAGTTTTACAATTATTTCTTTTCCCTATCAGGAAATGCAGATCTGATATCTCGTGTTTATAGGTAGTAGAAAGGAGCAAGAATACACGATTAAAACGATCGTGTAACAGTTCCTTATGTCACTGTTCGTAGACATTTATAGCGAATTAATGTCAATAAATGTTATTATTTAATTGTATACACGTAGGTGTAAATTAAGATAATTGTTGTATCTAAAGTCCGTAAAATGGAAAGAAAGGCTCTGTTAACTGTTATTACGTGTAGTATGCAATACCGAGTTAGGTTGTTGATTGATTCGAATTTATTTTCCACTAACGTATTCACCTGGATGATATCCAACACCCTCATGTGTCTATAAACATTTATATACATATTTACATGCATGGATATATGTATATTGTATGTTGACCCTTTTTTTAAAATAGCGAAATTAGCTGTAATGTACATACGTTTCGTTGGATGTTTTCCATATATAGTTACTCGTCGCGTTAAGAGAGTACAATTATACAACCCGAAAATGTTGTTTCTTTTTGTGCCAACTTTATAAAAATGAAAATTTTAGCGAGTTGTTATTATGAAGTCTTTACCATATGCATCTGAATATCAACCGCAGACATGTTACTTGTAGATGTATATGTTTCATATTCCGATTTTAGGATGTATAAATAGCTCTGTAGATTGTATTAAAACTTGTATGTGAATAAATTGTCCTTTTTTATTCAAACAATTGCTTAGTTTAATTAATTATAACGACTATTTAACTTTTAGCAAAGGAAAGACTAGTCTAAGATTATAGAGAATGTGGACAGTATTAATCCACAACGATACAGTGTTTATACTATTAGTTATGTACTTTAATTTATTTATATTAAAACATGATTTTAGTTCTGATAAGTAGTAAATAATTAGTGTTTATTTAAAGGAAAAAATATAAGATTAATAACAGTACTAATAATAATTTCAATAGTCGTAGTTACAGTAGTAGCAGTAATAGTAGCAGCAGCACACCTTGAATGAAATATTCTTTAAATCATACTCATGTTGTCAACTGTACCTTTACTATAAACATAATATAAAGCCCCAAATCAGGATCGATACAAACTTGAATGAGAAATTAAGCAAATGAAAAGTGTTTAGGTTGCAGGCGACATATTGCACGAAAAATAACGATCGTGTTATGGTTTTTTGTTTTATTTTATTTATACTTTATATGAAACAATTGACTATTTATTGTGACTTAGATATACGCGGCTAGTACATACATGTAACATGTATTTCTTGTTCGTAGTTAGACATGTCTTGTGCAAAACCGGTACATTCGTTTAAGGAACAAATCGTATTATAATCGTTGTGAATTTGTTATCGAGCGTCGTTAAAAACAAACAGTCGTATATTTAACATTCTTTCTGAAAACGGACAATATAATCACTCTGTCGAGAAACGGTTCACCGATTTGAAACACAAGTCACTCAAAATCAATCACATATGCCTCTGGTTTCAGTGACGGTAATTACAATCGTTAATAGGTGTCCGTCTCTATAATTGTTTTTTTTTCTCTTCATCTGTTTTAATAGCGTCTCACCTTTTTTCTTCGTACGGTGCAATTAATTACATCGTGACTTTCATCTCTGTTTCGACGAGGTTGCGGAAAACTTGCTCGCGAATATTCTCAATCGAGCTGTTCCATTATCATACAAACCTTAATGTTTTTATTTCATTTCCAAAGCAGTCAGACTACGTCAACCTTTCATATTAATCGTTCGATCATTACCAAGCCTTCTTAAGGATATAAATCACACTTTGGTGGGAAAAGTCAGTCTTTCTATTCGCTAGTGTACAAATTAATGTCTAAAAATTAGTTTAAATTAAAACTAAATACCATTGAATTATTATCATCGACTGTTGCAAAATGAAATCTCACGAGTTAAATTCTCTTATTATTAAGAGAACTTTTAGGGATGAACGTGCTAATTGGCAAAATTTATGTAATAAATATTTAGGAATATACTGAAGGTTTGTAATGATTTACGATTCATATTCGCAATGTAATTTACACAATACAACAATAATAATAATTCCGTAATTTATGTAATGATTTTCGACATGTTTATCCCGCGTTATAGGAGATTATATAATTAATGGGTCGCTCTTAACAGGCATTAAAGTCTCTTTCAACGTAACCGTGTTACTTTGCAGCAAAACGATACGAGAATTAAATGAAAGAGCAGTGCCAGCATTTCCATACCATCAATCAAAATAAAAATATTTTACCGAGCCTCTTTGATTTCTACATTTTTAATTTGTCACATAATACATAGAAATTCTTTTAGACACAACTTAAAAGTTTTTCTGGAGATGTCCTTTCGAAGAATTGAATAAGTTTGTATTTTAAATTGTCAACAATTATTCCTTTAAAATAATAATTCTTTATTATTCAATTTGTTACTATTTGGATAGAAATGTATTGGAATATGAAGGTTTATCCTTTGGAAAGAACAATTTTTATGTGTATATGTATAAAGATAATATTTCTCATATACATAGGAAGAATCATAAGATATAATTTAGTAATAATTTAGTAATCAGAAGAAGAAACAATAGAGTTATATATAACTATATTGTTTTATTTCTTGATAATATTTAACAAATTCCATCAAAATTAAATTGAGATTAAAGCTCACGAAGCGTATTTACTGTATTCATCTTATTTACATCGTGCTTATTTCAATTGAATTTATGGAAACTGGAGCAATACTCTTCGTTCAATGCTCGTGCATTCAATAGTATCGTACAATCTAAAAGGAACGCATCGAATAACTAGCACAATTCATCCTCCTGTGGCCGTACAATGCAACATCTTGCGATTCGAGAGCAGTGTTTGAAAACCCAAGAACATTATTTCTATTATTCGGTGTACAGAATTCGCGGGGAAGTGCGGTAATGCGTTATAAAATTATAGAAACCGATGGGAAAGTTCTGCATTAATGGATGGTTCTTCGTGCATTTCGATTCAATCAGTCGGCAATTAAATGTTGCTCGCGTGCCGATACTTACATGAAACATTCACGATGTTAGCTCTTACTTTCGGACAGAGATGGGCAAGATTTTTTTTTTAATAAAAAGTACATGACTTTGGGTCGTTCATGCTTAATTTTCAATCGAATAGTTATTGATTGTAGCCAGCTGAAGCAGTCGTTGACCCATTCTCGGAATATAAGAATTAAATTGATAAAAGAAATTGTTTCACGCGTAATTCAAACATAGAATTCGTTGTAAATGGTAAGAGTGATTCAAGGACGTTACGAAAAGAAAATATTATATGAAATTTTATGGTATTAATGAGAAGGTGCTTAATTTTTATAAATTACACAATTTATCATTAAGAAAACATCGTTTTATATATATTTTCTTCTTGCAACGTCTTTATACCACTTTAATTACTTACATAATTCTTTTGCTGTAACTACATGCAGCATTCTTTCAGGATTTAATTTCCTAATTGATAAAAGAAAATTGTTTCATACACAATTCAAAAATAGAATTTGTAATTAGTAAGATTTATTAAAAGATGTTACAAAAACAAAATATGTATGAAATTGTATGGCATTTATGAGAAGGTGTTTAAATTTTATAAGTAACACACTTTTTTTCAATAATAATATATCATCTCATTTATATTTTCTTTTTGTAACATTTTTAGATCATGTTTAGACCTCGTACTACTTATATAACTTCTATACTTACATGTAAACAACTTATTGTTCTTATCAATTTAATTCCTGCACATTGAAACATTAGTAAAATTGTTTCAAATCGTACCATTTTCTATTCTTTCCTCGTAAAATACAATTTCATTACAGAATTAAAATTCTAATTTCTATATGATATATATACTGAATAAAAATTTAGCTTATCTTTCGGTCGTTAGTTGACATTTTGTAGATAAGAATTTATAATATTGCCCAATCTGCCTTAGACTTAGTCTATCAATCGTGTTTCCGGAAGTTGATCGGAACAGCTTCGTTCGTATAACGATTCGTGTTTCATCAAGTTACGAGGAAACATCCTGTACGTGGAAGAAGAGACTTTCCCAACGAACTTCCGGAAGTTCGGTGTAACAATTAATCGAGAAGCCCCTTGGGGCACTCGAAGCTCATTCGTTAAAATACAATCTGTATTCATCCTCGGAATCGCGCCTCGTTACAATGAATTACCGCAGAATTTACAATGAATCCCGTCGACTTAACGTAGTTCGTGATACTCTGTACAAATCCTAACCGCCCTTACCACGTATGTACAAAGAGCTCTTATCGAATATAACTTATTACACGTTTACTTTTGGCATTTGCGTGAGAGAGGTGACGTGTGTGGTTCTCGCTACTTCAAATCCGTGCATCGCGTTTTCCATTCTGTTTCGTATTTTTTTTTCCATTTTTCGTAATTTATACTCGCTATATGTATATTTATACACACAGGATAGGAAGTCTAAGAAGTAACGCTCGAGATGCACATTCACTTGGGTGTTTATTTTCGTGTTCATTTTAGGGGGAATGAATGAGTAGAAATGTTACAGATCATCGTTTACGAATCTTAAAGCTTGCAGAGTCCTATCCTATTTGAGGTCCTTTGTGAGAGTAGATATTGATGAAATAGTATCGGTAATGTTTCTCATTGAAAGAATGTGAACATTAAACGGAAGACGATGTCTATGTTGCTCAAGATTATTTATTTAGGAATTTGAAAGCTAGAAGAGCTCTTTTCTACTCGAGGCCCTTGGAGACAATACATATCATTTAAATAAATAATTTTGATATGGAAGAATGCGAATATTAAACCGAAGATTGTATCAAGTTTCCTCAGGATTATTTATTCAGAAATTATAAAGGTATTAAAATTATTTTCACTTTCATAGTCCTTACAGAACAACCAGCATAGTAAAAAAATTGTTGTATTATTTTTGTTTGAAGGAACAGGAATATTGATAAGATTGTATCACGAATGCTTTGAATCATGTTTCCAAAAACTCGTGAGGTATTACATTTTTTTTTTCTTTTTAGGGACCCTTAAAGAATGAACACTAGTAAAATAACTTTAGTATAATTTTCTTTTAAATAACTAGTGTAATAGGAAGAAGATTACATCAAGATTGTTCATTACCAGTTGTTTAGAAATTTTTAAATAATCGAACTCTCTTACTTCTTTCATATTATTTTTTTGTAACGACTAAGAACATTAAACAAAATTACATTAAGATTCTGCTGATAAATTTCTTTAGAAATTCTTAAGATCATTAAAGTTTTTCCTCTTTGAAAACATTCCTGAAAATAAATTGAAGCGAAATAACTTTGGCAACATTTCTTCCAAATGCTTGAAAATATTGACTACATAACATTGTGGTTATTCGGAACGAATATTACAGAAACTTGGAAGCTATGTAGGTTCCTCTTTATAGTCTGCCAAAAATCATACAAATTTTAGAAAGATGTTTTCTGGAGAAGATTGTCATGCTCTCAAAAATGACAGACGCGTTCGCGAATTTCCACTTAGACGTTCCACCCTATGCACAGATTTATGTATACGCATATGTATGTATAATATGTACATGTTCTATTAGACTCTTAGGACTAGAACGAGTGGTATACACCGAGTGATTCGTAGCATATATATGTATATCTCTTCTCATTTATCTTTAATTTATTTTTTATATTATTTATATATTTATATATGTAGTCCGACTAGCGCGTTGAATTCCAAAATGCGATTCGTTACCAATTATTCGATGTTAATTCTCATCGACTACGTCCTTTGTAGTTATGCTAATTTGCCAGAGAAGTCATCATGAAATTTTTGACCGAGAAACCTTTACGTTCGAGCAATATCCCTTGAGCCTCGGTTAAATCGTTCTAGAACTCTTATTTTCGATTATTGTTCGATGCTCGTGTTTTGATAAAGTCTAACACAAATTTTCTTGACACTATTTAATTTTGAGCGTGGTGTCTTCGAGATTTTTCGATGAACTGGTATTCGGATGATAAATATTGATCTTCTAGTCCATGAATTTTAATTTAATTCTCAAAAGAGTAATGATTTCTTAACGTGTTATAATAGAATGAAATAATGTCTAATTTTGTTTAGAATTAATATACAAACTATAATTTTAAAATGAGTTATTTAATCAAGCGGTGATTGAAATAAATTACTTATAATTAATATGTAAATTAATTAAATAACTAATATCAAATCTACATATTGTTGTTCGCTAATTCAAAGTATATTACAATTACGCCTATTTTAACTGAATATTTAACTGTATTACGAATGCACAATATATTACGTATTATAAAGTTGTAATTTAATTTTATTTGTATATTCGTGAATGATTTAGTGCCCGAATCGAATAATAGAGGTCTGAATTTCCTATATGAATACATTCTACAGAAATACAGTGCAATTTAGTCATTGTTACTGTGTTTAACGGGCAGTGGAGACTGAGATTAATTGAAACATGGTTCAATAGAAATATGTGAAATATCTTAAAAATAGTTGGTGGAAGAAGGACCAGTTTTCATGTCTAAACGTGTCGCTTAGTACTTATCAATGATTTGGACACTTAGAACATTTTTATTTGGATGTATTACTTTTCGAACAGGAAAAATAAGTTTTCCAACTGTTTTTATATTGTTCATTTATTCAAAACTGTTGTTATTTTTTTGTCAAATTTATATTATCATAACGATGAATATCCCAGTTGATTTTAAAATGTTAAACACCTATCCACTTTTTTTCTGTGACATTAAATACTTGGAACAACGGAGTTAGGTCAGTTCATACAATTGTTTCGTTGTCGATTGAAACATTTTTCACTCGACATATAGAATTTTTCACGTAATTTGTTTAAATCATGTTTCATTTTTAGTGATTTTAATGAATCTAATTTTTGTTTAGTATGTATTGTAGTTGTTTATTAGCTCATTCGTAATTCATTTAATAATGCTGTTGAAGGTGAATATTAAGAAATAAAAATAATTCTTTGAACATAATTATCTTTTATTCATAGATGCAACAACTAATTTCAAGCATTGCTTTTTATTGACCCAGGCATAAGGTAATTTGAAACGTTTGTCGAGATTCTTCTAAAAAACTATTTTGATAGTATTTATGAAAACAAATTTTGCTTTAATTGAAGACTATTGTAAAACAGATAGAACATAGAATAAAGTCACGGTAAAATATATAATCAAAAACGTTCCAATTAATCCTAGTCTATTGTTTTATTGAGTTTCCAAGTGTGTATATTGTGCAATAAAACGTTCACATATAAACGATCAACCGATTCAAACAATACTCTAGCGCAAAAAATTGCATTGTTTTTTAACAAATATTCACATACACTTGTTTCATGAAAAGTTCATATATTTGTTCGGTAAATAAGAATAGACATACATAGCGATACCTGCATTTGCGCAGAGCAATTCAGAAACAACCTGTTGCCCGCGCTATAGATAAAATTTGAAATCAACGTTCTGTCACCGGCGATTCTATCACAACCCGTGTCTGTGTAAAATGATTCCGATATTTCGCTAAAATTGCTCGGCATTGTTAGCGTGTTCCTCTGTCAGGACGAATTAATTCTATCGAAAGGTACAGTAGTAAGACAATTATCTGAATATCGATTATCCAGATACTGTTTACTTGAATTACACAGAAACTGATTGCCTGATTATCGTTTATTTAGTCAAGTAAATTGAAATTCTTAGACTCTTCCTTTATTACTTCGCTGAAGGATTGCGACAGGATAACTGGCTGAATTATAAGATAGCTTTTGGAAGTTTGTTTAAAATATAGGTATGTGATTACCTTAAGGTCAATGTTTAACTATAAAGCGATACAAATATTTGAAAGATTTTAAAAACTGAATAATTTAACATTAGTTACATTTAGGCAGATTGTAAAATTTCCTTAACTTTATATTTCAGATGAATTTGTGATTAGACAATTTTTTCGTCAGCCTAAACGAAGGGACTCTATACAATTGGACGTAGAATTTATTCAAATAAAAATTTTATAGTAAAATTCAGAAGATAAACAAGAAAAGCAAATGATCTTTTTTTTTCTTATGTTCTTAAATATCAGATAACGAAGGGTATTCTTTGAACCTTCATATAGCAAGATTTAGAAAATTGCAAAGTTAAGTCAAGTGTACTTTGACATTTTATGGAAAAAAAAGTTCGTTTGCAAATTCTTCACACTAAAATTTGTAGCCGATTCAAAACAAATTAACTTTTGTTTTAAACATTTTTTTGTCTTTGCTTGAAACCTTGTCCAGATTAATAGCCCAAAATATTGTGTTCTAAGAATTCATATCAATCATTTTAAGTCAACACTTCTATGATTCGCTCTATCTGCTTCCAGGCAATAGATAATTATTTGAAAAAATTATACAATGGACTTTAAATGAAGTTTCCAAACGTTACCATGGTTTTCAAAATTCATCATCCTGTCGTGAACTATTAAAAGTAATCCAAGCAAGAAAACACGAGCATCGATATGATATCAGAACCGTGTAGATACACACACAAGACCAACCTTGGGCTTGTTCGTATAGTTTGTTTCTCATTGAACAGGAACGTGTACGGACACGACATGTCAAGCTCCATTACTCAACAACCGGTCGTTAGAGCGAGCAGTATCGTGGCGAGAATTAGGATCATCATTTCGTGTGATCGGTTTCCACTCGAGGAATCGCGCACGTGATTAGGCGCCGGCGATGGTCCACTCTTGTGAGTATTCGCGATTACCGTTTGACTTCTCCACTTCATCGTATACTCTGGAGCGGTTCTTCCAAGAGCTTGTAATCTGCAATTAAAGTAACACACAAAAAGTGTCAGAAGTTACTTGTTATTTTTCAATTATTAGATATTAAACAACGATTGAGGCAAAATAATTCTTAAACGATGGATTTCCTAGCATTTTCCTTAAAGACGTTCCGACCACCTACAGTGGGTGTAGAAAGTATTCGTACACCGATCAATTTCCAAAAAAACTGTGTAAAATTGTAATTTATTAACTTATTTTTTATAAACAATGGCACTCTACATACTCTCCGAAATCTCTAGAATAGATAGATTACAAACAAAAAATAGCTATTTATGTAAATTGCGAAATTAACAAGAATTATTTGCATAACTGCTTAAAAGTACTTTCCTGGAAATTTGATGTTTTCTAATTCGCACGGAGCAATAAACTAATGTGTTTACGTTACAAAATCTACTGTAAATGGTTCGTCATAAGAATCGTACAAATACGTATTGCTTCTATACTTTTACCTAGTTTTCGCATTTTTTTTGTTAATTTCACAAATTATATTAACTAGTAAATGTTGTTTGGACTATACCTATCTTAGAGACTTCCGAGAATATGTAAAATATCATTGATTATAAAAAAAGAAGTTAGAGAATTTCAGAGAAAAGTTTTTTGGGAAATTGATCGGTGTACGAATACATTCTACATCCACTATATATTTATATTATATCCATATGATTATTTATATTTATGTTCAACAGCATTATATTACATTATATCATATTATTGTATTATAATATTATATTTAACATTGATATAATACAAAAATTGTATGTTGCGAAAATCGTTAGAGTACACTTCATGGAAAACCTTTTCAATGATGAATAAAAATGATGTTTTGTAAATTATTTACACAAGTAAATGCGAGGTCTGGTATAAAAATCCTTGTCCACTCATTATTCCATGTCTTGTTTTTCAGAAATGGTGTAGAGATTATGCAAACGTAATTACACGTGTACATATTTGCAAAAAATCTGTACAGGTAAAATGAAACGGACAAATTTTGCCTACCTTTCATAAGTATGCATTTGGTTTCATTTTCATAATTTTTAAAATAATTTTGAAAATACCAGGCATGTAGTAGTAATTAGGTAGATATATAGACAGATAAATAGATAATTTATTCCATGTAATTTCTACATACGGAAGAACTTTTGCTTACATCACATCACTTACAAATCATAATATTCCGGCCCTTTAACCCATTCTAGTGACTCTTTCCTTTTACTCCCACTTTCCGCATCTTCATTCATTTTCCTCAATGTATTAGTAATTAATGAACACGAATTTTTATTGCCAGTTGTGCAGTACTTTATATAAGTAATTTGAAAAACTATTTTATTGGAAACAAAAATCTTGTCACGTTCCTCTCAACTCACAATTACTTTATTATATTGTAGTTGAAGAACGTGAAATACTGAAGATGGCCATCTGCATGTATAAATGGTAGGAAAATGTTTATCATTTTTTATTAGGGAGTAAGGTCAAAGTTCTGATTAGTAGGGTCTTATTTAGCAGTGGCTCTAAGCAGACTCACCTAACGACGACTGTGTTCGTCTTCCAGGGAAGAGTGAAATTTTTGTGCGTGTCCCTCGAGCAGAATGTGTGCAGCCTTGGACCAGCTGGATCGCCAATCTCGCTGTACTCGTGTATCGTCAGATTCCAAGCGGTGCAGGGTCCTGTGGCGAGAAAGAATGAATATTCCAACGCGTGTCGTGACTGGTCATTACTAGACTGCGGAAGTTTATGCACGATAAATATGTAACATGCATATGTAAAATATGCTCGGAAAATTTGCAAAATATGCAAGGTATATAGGTACATATAAAATGTAGTACAATAAGTAATATATTAGTATGTTACAGAAAATACTTTTCACAATTATTCTGGTATATTATGATTCGTGTGACAATAAATTACGAGCATTTTTTCTAAATTTAATGGTGTTAGTTGGTAGCGTTTGTCTATTGAAATTAATTTATACGCGGAGAATGATTGCTCTACGTCACACGAAGTAATCGGTGCGTATTTAAATTTGGACAACATTGTTCTGGCACATTTATTGGTCCTTGAACGCCCTCGTTATTTAAAATATTAGAAATGTTCGATAATGTAGAAAATCCTACATTCTTTTCTAAAGTTGTTTTACATTTTTTTCTATTCTTTTCCCCGGAATCACCAGGAATACTTTTTAGATGTATTATAGTATTCATATATATTTCTATTGATCCCAGTTTCCGTATTGTTGTTGGCCAAGGCATGTTAATAGCGACCATTGCTTGCGTCAAGTCTGCATAAAATTCATTTTTTCTTGAGCTCGTTGCTATGTGTTCCTCTGTTTCACGCGAATTAAGGCCGATTCAGACTATACGACACGGACCGTCACGTTCCGGCAACGACACATAACGGTACCCACACGACAAAACATTAAAACACGCTTTTTAATGGAACTATTCACACTATTCCCGTTGAAGGAACGTTCAGGTCGGTGTCTGTTAAGTGTGAATAGTTCCATTAAAACGCATGTTTTAATGTTTTGTCGTGTTGGTGCCGGTACATGTCGTTGCCGGTCCGTGACGGTCCGTGTCGTATAGTCTGAATCGACCTTTAGCAGTCTCTTCGATTTTCCTCTTATGTGTGGCGGTATTTATGTGTTGGTCTAACTGCGCTTTCCTTTCACGCTTCACATTTTTATTGCAAATTTTGCAATAAATGCTTCTCAGCGTTATCATTACTGTAATTGTCATTAATGACAAAATTGGAATTGTTTTTGATCCAACTTAGCATTAATGCTTGTCTACTTTTTCTAACTTTCGGCATTTTTAGAGAATTAAGAGACACTTAAATACATTCACTTTTCCACAGAGATCACATTAACTGCGATGATCGAACTGACGTGTTCGAATTGCAAATACAAACTGTCACACCTAACGCTCGATTAGCAACTTAAGGTTGGAGAAATATGGTTTCATATGGCCTGTATTTGTGTAAACACTACACACTTATGATACGAAACTAATTTGTCAAGATAGATGTTTCACATAACCACGATAAATAACATATGTGATATATTATTGCATATGTTTTTAAACATAAATATGCAAAGCATATGCATTATGCAAAATATGCAAAATATAAAATGTATTTTTATAGTACTCTAATTTCAAAACAAATTTCTGTATAGGTTACATTCTTTTAACTATTTCCTATAAAAATATGCATTTGCATAAACTTCCGCAGTTTAGTCATTACACTCCCTACATAGTGAGAAAAATTTTAGTATAGAGTATATCAGTTTAATAGTATACAGGCCAATTATTTCCTAAATTAAAAATATAAAACAATGTTTCAGACAAATATTGTATGGTATGATGGACTAACCATAGTAACGATAATTATTTGTCTTCAAGAACAAAATCAAACAGATAATTAAAATGTAATTATGTAGTTATCACACGAACTCAAATTATAATTATTCATTAATATTTTTAAATCATGAAAATTAAAAATTAGTGTTACAAAAATTCAAGCACCCGCTATTTTATTTTTTTCTGGATTATAGTTAGGTGTTTCATTTTAGTACAGGTGATAGTGACAAAACTATATTTTTATAATCTTTTTAATATTTTGCTTTTGAATGATCCAAAGCCAAGTTATCGTGTCAACCGTGGAAAAAGGAGGTAAACTTCATATGACTATAGCAACGACAATAATGATTAAAAATAAGCAACACAAATTTCTTTTAATAGTTCAACAAGTCTACTTCTATGCATGAAAACATAATTCCACAATTATTTGTCACATCGAATAAAATTTTTATATAGCCTTTTAAAGAAATTTAAAATAAAATGTATAAAGAACATTTTGTTTCAATGTTACATAGCGGCTGCTGATGAGTATTAGAGGTTTAGAAGAAAATGAATGCCCAAAAAGTTTGGCATTTCAGATAGCACTCTTCATCCCCATATTCATTTTTCATTAAAAGCTCGATTTCGCTTTTGCTTGTCTCGCTACGCACAAATTTCAATACCGTGCACCTACGACCCAGTTAATGGCAGGAATACAATAACATCGATATAGATTTTTATTTATGGAGCCCGAGGAGATATGTCGCAGTCGAACATTGATCAACGGCGTCATTTAAAAGTTGGAATACGCTCATTGAAACTGAGTAATGTAGGAGGGAAGGGGTAGCTAGAAATGAATCTGTCGAAATGTTATCGAGGATCGTGAGACCATGGTTCGTTTTTCCAACGAATCGTGTCGGGTCAAGAGTGAACCGTATCCGTAACCCTCCCGAACAACCAATTAAGAGAGCCCGTTTCACAATTAATTGTCACGGACACAACATTTGACGCGCGAAAAAGATCGGTTCTGTTGTCGATGTACCCGCAATCATCGACGAGCGAATAATTGATGCAGGCTCGAACCGCGATTCGAGGGCACTGTGTAACATTCGCTTCATCTTTCAGCTTTTTTTCTACTCTCATTTTTCGCGGTTCGGCAATTTTTCGACAGCAAAACTTGCTCGTAACGGTGATGTAAACAAGAACAAGCAACCACTATGATTGCGCAGAATAGGAACAAAAAATATATATACACACATTGTAAAATATGCTGTGTCCTTCATCAGTGGTTTTTGTTTAGTCTTGGTTCAGTGAGTCGTACGCTACATTAAGGTTTACGGAGATATAATCTTTTTGTTTTAACGTATTTCCATGACCCTCTCCGTAAATTTGACAAAACATTTGAATATCAATGATATAATAACATTGTAAATCGTCAATGGGGTTTTTTTTAAACAGGCAGATTTTACCATGGACATAGTTTTATGTTCTTTCAAAAAAGATCGAGTTAACGGGCAACGGATAAATTGTTTGTTGAAAGGTAAGTGTTCGCACTATTTTCATAAACACTAAATTCTGGGTTTTATACGGTCGGTTCTGAAGCCATTCTTTTACCTGGAAAATAAGGTTACCATGAGATCGATTACTATAGGAATAAAAATATAATAATTTAACAGGTATCTGTACCCCAATCTTTCAACATTTTCATATAATTTCATTTCAAAGCCCAGTAATGCACATCTTACAAAGAATACAAACATTGATTGTTCCTTACCATTAATTAGTGTAAGTTTCTCTTAAGAAGGGAGAAAATGTTCAATACAACCCAATACCAGGTAAGGAAAAGGTATATATATGTGCGCGCGTGTGTGTGTGTGTGAGAGAGAGAGAGAGAGAGAAAAGATTCTTACAGTTTGTAACCTTTCAAGACCACATGATAGTGTCCTCTTACCTTCAACGTAATAAATTTTTAAACGCAACATGCAATCTTGCAAAGCCAACCAAACACTCTTTTATTCTCTCCTTTTGCTATTTTGAAGAATGTAAATATAAATAAATATTCGTATTAATTGAACAATTTTTTTATCAGGAACATTGAAGAGAAATTATATTAAATAATGTCGAAAAATATTAATGAATGCGATAATTATAGAATTCCTCATTTTTCTGCAAACTCAGAATGTTCCCGATCGTTAACGACAACTTCTTCACTCAACCACTGATTGGTTAAGTGTCAAGGACATTTACTCTTGGTTTATTTCCTAATGCTGAAATTTAATACAACACCATCAGTGGTGTTGTATCCTAGATCTCGTAATGACATCTTCAGGACCTACTTAACGAAGAAGCCGATTCAGTTAGCAGAGTAAACTCAATTCGATGTAGAAACGTTTCAAGCAGTTGTTCATGCGGGACACACGGCAATCTTTCTTCTCCACATCTTTCAAAACCTCGGCGTGGCAGCGCGAGCGGCGATAGTTCGCGACGGGAAGCCGTAGGAAGAAAGGAAAGAGCGTCGTTGGAATGGAAACTGAGGTCGAATAGATGTGTGAAAGCCATTTTCTGGGGATGGTTGGCCGCAACAATGTCAGTTCCGCCTTTGGTGTGCCGTGTTGTTTCGCAACGTGACTGCCGATGGAAAGACGACGAGGAAGGGTTGTGTGGGATGGGAAGAGAACTCGAGGGAAAAGGGAGCGAGCCTCTGTTGACTCGGGGAAGACCAGTTCTCGTTGTTCTGGCAAATCCGATGGTTCCTTTAATCTCGAGTCCTGGTTCCATTCGTTTTTGGCGCTACGACTCTCGCGTGAGAGCCTCGTCTCTCCTTGCCCTCGTGTTTACCTCGACTGCTTTCCTTGGCCAGCAACGACGGTCTGCTTTGAGACCGTGCAATGCTCAATGGCGCGGATAGAAATTTCAACTAAGAGCGGAATTGAACGAAATTTGACGGTCAGTCACTAAGACGGTGAGCAAAGTATCGTTTCACGATGCTGTTCCCTTGGATTTTTCGATCGAAATCCCCTCAAAAGACTGAATCTCCCTCGATGTCCATTTAAGATTGCGAATAGAATTCGTGCCATTCGTCAGATTTATTGCGTTTACTTGAGCTATGGTCGTTTCATATTCGTTGAATTCTTTAAAACGGGTTGTGGTACTATCAGGATACCACAAAAATTTCTCAAATTTTGGTAACGTGGTGCAAGAATTTGCAAAGGATTCTTAAATGCAGCAGACGTTCTAGGGTTTCTTAACTTCGGGATAAATTTAATAAATAGTATTCTTTCGGCGGCGTTTGTGGATTTGATATATTTTTAAAAACATTAGTATAATTGTAATTAATTGTGAAAGTAGATATGTAACAGACCTGGGCAGTTGTGGAATTATATTATGTGAAATAACACGTTATTTTATTTCATAATTAGTATCAAACCTGATATCACTTTTGAAATAATATTATGTGAAATATTATGTCAAATAATATATTATTTTATTTTATAATTATTTGGAATAATTCTTTTGAAATAATTGTGAAATTATTCTTGAAAATTCTCTCGAGTGAAACCATAAGTACACGATGATTTCGAATTTGAAAATTATGAAGTTGAAATAGCAAACAAATCCACATTTGTATTGTGTTATTTGCAAGATTATATAATTATAAAAGACGTTTTCCTACAGTGTAACACATTTTGCGACAATATTCAATGGCTTCAAATGAAAATAAATCTTGTTTGGCATATGCAATTTAGGTACGAAGCACCTACATATTTTACCCATTTTTGAAGTGAAATAAAATTTATTTAATCATACAAATAAGACATCTATACACCTATACCTCTGTAATGTACAGTAAAAAGAGAACATAAAAAGTATTCATCCTTGTGACTGATACTCAACGACGATATCGTCGAACAATTAAAATTAATTTGCATTAACGAAATACGAACTTATAGAAAATAAAAATAAATAGATACCGTATTCAAACGATACGAAGAATACAATGTGTATAAGTACTTACGGCTCTGTGTAGATTTCACTTCAATGGTGAGCTGTCGATCCGTCAATGACTGCAATATCCACGTGCATCTTTGCTGATAGTACTGATTTAACTTCAGCCCGCTGCTGGCCAGGTCACCGCCATTGACCTCGCCTTCTAGCTTGGTAGTCGTGTAATCACCGCAATAAGTGTCGTTGATAAACTCGTAAGCCGCGCGGAAATTGAGGCCCTCCGAGGACCTCGACCACTCAATGTATACTGGTGTCCAGCTACGGATGCCAACAGGAAGCCAGTCCTGTAGGATACACCACAGATATGAGAAATGTGTTTCATATGTACGATAAACATTTTTAACGTTAATGCTCATTGATAAATAGATAATAATATCACAGGTTATGGTGAATTTACTTGTATTAGGTTGTCCCAAAAGTTTCTTTCGCTTTATTAATAAGTAATACATGCACAATAGTTCATGTTTTATGTTACATTACTGAATTGTGCACGATTCATTTTGCTCCATTACTGTTACAACATGAATATCGATGAAATTAGATTGTCTATTTCTATAAACACGACCACATAAAATTAATTGAGTTCAACTCGCGAAAGAAACTTTCGGGACAACCTAATAATAAAAACAATATAACATCGTGTTCATCATTATCGTTAAAAGAATTTTCCGGAGGGGTTTTAGAATTTTGTATTTTAATAAAACACAGATGGTATGGAATATATCCGACATCTTAATTTTAAATGAAACTACAAATGATTAAAATTTAACTTGAAAGACAATGTTGTTCATGTGTCCATTATACTGACAGCTGTACTTTGTTATTAAAAAATAGAATTCTAAAGTGCATTTTAGACCAAAATTTATGTTAGATGTACTAGGTAAATATAACGTTGACGCTTTATTGCATGAATTTTAATAAGTTTTTTTAAACAGAAATTATTTCTTAGCCATGAAAATAGGAATGTTCAAGTACAAAGTTACTTCTAAAGGCAAGAATGTTAAAGTTGAAAGAACGTATGAAAGTTCGATTGCTAAAGTTAAAGTTGTTTAGAAAAATAAGAATGTTGAAGTTGAAGTTTCGTATAAAAGCAGAAACGTTAAAGTCATTTAGAAAAATGAGAACATTAAAATTTCCTTTGTAAGGATTAATGTTAAAGTTGAAGTTACTTAGAAAAATACTATAGAATATGATTTTGGTGACATTCGAGGCCGAAGCTTACATAAGGGTAGTTGGGTGTAGAGTGTGAGAACGAGTTCGACGAATGGATGGATGACGAGAACTTGAGGCGTAAAAGAAGTGTTTGGACCGCGCGACAGTTTCAACTGTGCTGGAAGAAAAAAAAACTGCTAGTCGCCAGGTTGGGAATGAATGATAAGAGTGCGTGCCTAGACGAAGGAAAGAGTTTAGTTTTAAATGAGAGAGCGAAGCATAAAGATCAGCGGATGTCAGAGTGTCAAACTACGTGTGCAACTAATAGCAAAGATGTTATTTTACTCATTTTCATACCGACAATAGTTCAACTATAATCCTGCACTACCATTGTAGTAATAATACAATCCATGGCCATTACCTAATAAAATCCTACAATACGAATGTTGAAATTGAAGTTATGTAGGTAAATGGGTAACTACCTACATTATTTACTATGTGGTAAACATTCAGGCACGAGGGTCGAGAGAAAGTCGAGTTTTTTCAGTTTTGGAAAGCGTATGCCGAAAACATGATCATCGTCATTCTGTGACACTCAACCAAGGTCCCAAGTGCGAGCAGGTAGCAGACCCTACCTCTGTTTATGCTTTCATCTCAAACGAATAGTATCAGACAATTCAGAATTTAAACGAACCTTACTGTATAATAAAGAACATTTTAAACTAAATTGTGAATTAAGGTGTTTAGTTCGCTACAACTACAACTAGGAATTTACCAAGAATTAATTATTCACTCTCCAGTTTTTCAACTTTTGAACATTTCGTACAAAATGATACAGTGAATTGATCTCAGAGTCGCGTCGATCATTTCTGAAACGTAACGCGCTCATCCTTTGACGGATAGTATGGTAATCGGTTCGAGAGGGAGCTCTTCGATTTATTTATAGCAAAAAATGTAACAGAGACGTCCGTGAATGGTTGAAAAGCGCAAGATTCGTAAAAGGTTAATTTCGATCGTTCGACGTGGCCCATCGAAAAGAGCATATTTCACCCCGAAGCGTTTCGTGAATTGCTCAACGGGAGACCTCTCGATTCGTTGGAAAACAATTTCTCTACTTTCCAAGCTTTTCAACTCCACCCTTTCCCCCTGCCCTTCGTTCTCCTCTCTAGTTTCGACTCTGCAACGCGCATTATTTGTTTTATTCACAACCTGGTGAATTCGTTCGAAGTAATTCCGCGCCGATTGATGGAATAGGTGTTGAATAGAACGAGAGAGCATTCAATGTCCAACCCAATACAATCGGCGAGTGCCGCGTTTGTCCGTGAATGAAACTTGAATGAAACGGTGGCAGTCGGACGTGAGCGGCAGAAATGAAAGGGGAAAAGAGAACGGCGTTAGGGAACCCTGCGGAAGAGGAGGGGAGGAGGTGGAAGGCGATGCTTGCAGATCGTTTTTTGAATTAAACGGTCGCGGTCATTGATGCGGCGACTGCGTTCCATCGGTCGTATGTCGTTTTCACGAAGCCTGTAACATCGTCGTTTCGCGTGTCAGTTTCGCAAACGATTCGAGGAATCCGCTTATAATACCCAGTGGGTACTCGTTTGTCCAGCTTGTGGGCGACAATGTTGTATGACACGAGCAAATGTGCAGTTACATATAGTGAAACGTGGCGAAATAGTCGAACAACAACGAAATAAATATGTAGAGGAGAAAAAGAGGGTTCAGTTTCCTAATCCCCTTTAAACTATTGTCAGTTTTTCCTTCAAGGTCATTTGAAGTCAACGTATCAGAGTGATCAGGAATCTATTCTACCATTGGTATAATAGTATGCTGACAAAATGTACAGGGTGTTAAAAAAAGCATTAAATATTTACATGATTTATAGGGCACACTGTACCGAGTAAAAAAGCTTTGGTAAACATAGGTCCAAAGGTCAACCGTTTCTGAGATATGTATAAACATTTTTGTTTGCTAGCCTCATCGTGCAGCTAAGGCACTTCCATTACCACGACCATACATAAAATGCATATCTACCATTTCTTCATTAGAATACTGCGCTAACATTTTCGCGTTACTTTACACTTTCGTAATATCTAAATTGCCGATTCGCAACTGACTAAATCTCAATGAAATCTACTGTTGGCATTCGAATGGGAACATTCAGAACGCAATGTATAAATAATGACATAAACATCGGATGCGATGGAAGCAAGTAAGTCAATCATGATACTAGCAAACAAAAATGTTTATATCGCAGAAACGGTTTACTTTTGGACCTATGTTTACTAAAGCTTTTTTACTCTATACACCATATAAATATTGAATGCTTTTTTTTGAACACCCTGTATATGTAATAGTATGTAATAGTATGGTGATAGAAAGGTATGTAATTATTGTTAAAAATGTTTCGATGACCTTGAAAACTCGAAATAGTGATTTTAGAGAGAAAGTTTTAATCGCCATTTGTTACTTTAACGTAAACATGTTTCTTTTGTGACATTTCGTACCGTCAACTTAAGGGAACTTTCTGCCGAATCACGGACCTATTCTGTTAGGCCTGGCTATATGTGATACTATACCATAGTTCGTTGCTCAGGAGTTGGCGAGGCAGTTCGATTGGCTTTCACGTAACGGCGACACCTTTACTAAGAGCTTTACACATATTTTCGTTATTAGCTGAATTCGTTACATCTGCAAATCTACCACGTAAAGAAGACAGCGAACGAGATATATTGAAATAAACTAAAATACATGAAAAAGTGGAGGACTCAAGGAGTTATCATTGAAAAATAGAAGATCCCCATAAAAAACTACAAGAAAGTAGAAAAATATGTGAAATCGAAATGGATTGCCAGATGATTTGCCTAGATTTCCGCAGCTTACAAGTCAAATGCTTGGCGCGGCCAGGCAAGGTCAAGGTGTCGATGAACAAGAATTATTTTAAAACGCTAAATAATGAAAGTGTATACCCATATTGTCAGAGTTCTGAACTGACAAATTATCTGATAAGAAAAATGAAAGAGTTCCAGACGTATAACATACACTTTGTATTTAACCGACAATGTAGTGTGAACTACGACGATGCAGTGTGACTGATTAAAGGAAGGGGGCTCCTGGGGGAGCAAAGGCAGACCAAACGTTGAAATTTCCTTGCCTCCGTCCCCATCAGTTCGTATGTGCCTCGCCAACTCCTGATCAATGTAAAGTACGTGTCCGTATATAGGTGGTCCTATTCTACTAGACTGGCTATGGATCAATTTATTCTACTCGCCTAACTAATGAATAGACTGCGGATTTTGTGCCTTTTTAGAAAACACTAAATATACAGAAAATATTCAGATAATACACAAATTTGTTATAACAATATAAAAATAATTTTTATTTAGATGTTGTAAATAAAATAGCGATACTGAAGCCATTGCGCAACAAGAATTACTCTCCAATCTGCGCGGCGGAGTTCTCAGGTATGGTTACACTTGAAATAAAAAAATAACTATTTTTCATATTCTACAGGATGTATACCTTGGAAGCGCATACGGAGTTTACGATATGTTGAGAATATTTCGTGCTACAGACATTTTTTTACTGTACATTTTGTGCTAAAAACGAGATTTTCTTTCAAATGCTTACCATTCTTACAAAACTTGATATTTTGTCAAATTTGTCTATACTTCCACAGTATACAGGGTGTCTACGTACAAGTCCGGATATACGGAGGGTGTCAATTCTACAACAATTTTACAACAAAAATTACTCTTAGACATTGTGTCACTTTATTCTCAAGAATTTTCACTTTTAATTTTTTTTCTGTGTTTTCGACTTGACACTCTTTAAACGGCCATAACTCCACTAAATTACAGTGCGAACTCAAAATTCAGTACAGCATTTGAAGGAGCGTTAACTTTTCCATTTTTTTTACAATTGTTTACGGTTTTATACCGGAAGAATAATTGTTTTTGAATATGTATCCATAGAATTTTCATTTTTAGAGACTATTTAATCAAAATCTACCTCGGTGTACACAATAAATGATATGGAGATTGCAACACGATCGATTTCACAAAGCAAAAAATCGATGTTTTCGGCATAGGAGATCGGATAAAAGAGTTTAAATTTGAAAAAAATAATTTATTGAAAAGAAAATTTTGAGGTGTAAAAAAACAGTTTTTTTCCTAATTGGGGAGACTCGGGAGTGTCATCAAAGAATACATCAAACCCGATGTCAAGCTAATTTTAAAGTGACAAGTCGATTTTTGTTGAAAAATATCGATTTTCACCTAAAAACCCACGCTTTTCTGCATTAAAACGTCATTTTTTCCCAAAAATACCACCGTACAATTATTTTTGACAATACCATTCAAAAGCTGAGACTTCCAGGAAGTTTTTCCCGAGGAGTGCCCGCCAACTAACTATGTATTTAAAACCGAAAAACGAATACAGAAAAAGTCAAATTTTTTTAAATTTTCACAATGTAAAGTTTGACCTAATTTTTCACTTGTTAAA